AGATGGATGGAGACTACGAGACTGTCTTCTGCCGCATACCTCCCTAAGACGGATAAGATTGCACAGGATGGGCCTTCTCCAGGTGCCATCAGCTGGACAATGTCAGCTGGTGACACCTCGGAGTAGGGCCTTCTCTGTTGCCGCTCCGGCCCTATGGAATGAGCTACTCCCAGAGATCCGGACCCTACCCACTCTCATGGCCTTCCAAAAAGCTATCAAAACCTGGCTTTTCTGGCAGGCCTGGGGCTGTTGACCTCTTGATTGAGGTCCAGCCCCGCTTAGACTGGGTGCATGTTGTGTCTCTTAATTTGTTCTGTCTTGTTTGTTTTAATCCTTTCTTAATATTTCTTATTTCTGTAAGCCGCCCGGAGTCCTTCGGGATTGGGCGGCCTATAAATTCAATAAATGGAAATGGAAATGGTGGCTGGCTGGCTGGCTGGGTGGGTGTGGCTGGCTTGATGTCACTCACTGGGTGTGGCTGACTGGGTGGGTGTGGCCAGCCGGGTGGGCATGGCCAGCTTGATGTCACTCAATGGAGGTGGCCAACTGGGTTGGTGTGGCCAGCTTGACGCCAATTTTCTGGCGTGTTTCCTCTTTGCATTGAGTAGACCAGGCTGAAGCAATGTGGGACGGCCCCTTAAATTTTCCAGGATGGACCCCCCGGGCCGGATCTGACCCCATCGCGAGCCGGATCTGGCCCACGGACCTTGTATTTGACACCCTTAGTCTAGGATAACTCACCAAGGCCGTCTCACCACAGGAAAACTTGCCGCGGACAATTCCACATGGGGGAACTCAACACGATAAATTTTATCCACCGCTGTGTCTCGGACGTTATTTTCATTGAAAACAGTGGAAATAATAGGGATGAAACTGGAGCAGATAACATTTGTTGTATCGAGTGTCGTATTCCTACGTGGAATTGTCCGCGGTGTGTTGGCCATGGCAAGGTGACTGTGGCAGTTTGGCCTCCAAACTTAACAACGGTGGCAAGAAAAATCGTAAAACGAGACAAAACTCACTTAACAAATGTCCGACTGAGCAACATAACTCAATTGTGGTCGTAAGTCGAGGTCTTGTTTTCGTTTTATCTCCAACAGCGGAGAGCCCAGGGTCTCCACTCACTCCTACAAAAATTCCTGCCGTGCCTAGAATTGTCAGTGCTCCTACAACTGTAGCGACTGTTGCGACCGCAAAAACCGGAACAACAAGCAAAGATAAATTATCGACGTCGCTCACCTCGCCCATCACGCTGTTGACAACCACGATGGCCAAACCTTCAGCACCTCCCAGCAGCTCCACCGTTCACTCCTCAAGTAGCGGCTTTTCCACTCGCCCAGAATGGAAGCCGATGCCTCCGGCTTTGACCCCGGGGACCACCATTCCTCAGGAGTCTCATGTCCCCTCTCCTTCCATCCAGACGAACCTGAGTTCTGTGCAAGGCCAGACTAAGGTAAACAGATGATCGGGGTACCACTTGGTGGGACTTCAAACACAGGCGCATGTCGACAAGGCACCGAAATGTCATTCGGTTGCTGAATTAGAGCCCGTTTGGTCTTAGCGGTGAAGGCTGCAGGGCTAAAAACCCGTTCTGACCTAGGCTTCACCAAATCACGGCGCAGACTCCTTGTCCTGACAAAGCCCCTTTTTTATTAAGCTAAGAAAGAAAGAAGGAAGGGAAGGAAGGAAGGAAAGAAGGAAGGAAAAGAAGGATGGAAGGAAAGATAGAAAGAAGGAAGGAATGGAAAGAAGGAAGGAAGGAGGGACAGAAGGAAGGGAACAATAGAAGGAAGGAAAGAAAGGTAGAAAGAAGGGAAGGGAAAGAGAAGGAAGGAGGGAAGGAAGGAAAGAAAGATAGAAAGAAAGAAGGAAGGAACAGAAAGAAAGAAAGGAAAAGAAGGAGAAAGGAAGGAAAAAAGATAGAAAGAAAGAAGAAAAGAGAGAAAGAAAGAAAGAAGGAACTGAAAGAAGGAAAGAAAGAAAGGAAAAGAAAGACGGAAGGGAAAGAAGGAGGGAAAGAAAGAAAGGAGGAAAGGAAGGGAAAGAAAGGAGGGAAAGAAAGAGAAGGGAAGGGAAGGAAGAAAGGGAGGAAAGGAAGGAAGGAAGGAAGGAAAAGAAAGAAGAGACAGAAAGAAAGAAAGAAAGAAAGAAAGAAAGAAAGAAAGAAAGAAAGAAAGAAAGAAAGAAGAAAGAAAAGCAACCTTGCCATGATGGCTCCTCTCATTCACATCCAGCAAAGTCCCGGCAAGCAGTATTTCAAGGGTGAATTTACAACCACAGACCTTATCAGTGCCAGGCCGATATAATGCTGAACAAGAAAATACTTGGCAAGGCGTCTCTGAGAATCACGAACAATTCTTCACACTAATTAAGTGAACTAATTGTCTCCTTCAAACTCCACTCCCCTTTCGCTCCTCTTTATTCCCTATGGGAGGGGCCATTCACCATCCACCTGTGCCTTTCCTCCCAAGTCGTCCCTTGTTCCTTAGCTGTTCCTTTCTCCTGGCAGCTCTGCGTATGTGCACATTGGGAACAGGCAGCTCTCCGACTCTGAAGGCAGCTGATAACTGCCAGATGGCCTTGGCCCCCTCTCTGCCTCCGACACAGAGCCCTCA